TTATGTGCCGAGGAAGGGACTATACCAATGCACCTCGTGCTCCACGCTATCAAAACAGAAAGACTCTTCGTATTTTTCTTTCTGGCAGTTCGTAACTGAAGCAAACCGCAACCCCCCCCCCCTGCCCCCCTCCCCCCCTCCCCTCCCCCGGTATCGAATCGAACGTCCCCGCTGAACTCCATGCACATTCTCCCTATGAGATAAATCCGCTAATTATCAATTCGCAGAATTCCCTTCTTAGCTGGCTGGAACAGGAGAGGTCGATAGCTCCCGATTCACCATGGAAACCTGATCATCTGTGATGACCCTCAACGCCCTAACCACGGTACGGAGCAAATATGTTTTCCATTGCGCCTCTAGACCCGCTCCTTTCGATTGGTCTTTTTCCCTGAAAAACTTAACGGTTTGAATTTGCCAAGTTTTTTGGAGATACGAAAGAGCTATGTCTCCTTTCGTAATTTAATTCTTTCTCCCTTTCGTCCCTCCTACCTTCATTTTTGAGGAAGAAGCCGAATGAGATTTGTATTTAAAAAAAAGGAACAGCGGTGTTTGGTTGGGAGATCATGGTTCTATTTGCCAACTGAGAGTTATTACCAAGTGATGAAAAAATGAAAATAGAAGTCTAGAAGGGCAAAAAGCGCGGGGAACTAACGGGACTCGAACGAAATTCGGATTCGGATTAATCCGAATTCGTCCGAAACATTAAAACCTGTCACCTGAAAAACATTACCATTAGCGTCACCATTAAAACCTAAGCCCCTGTTTCTTGGATCGTCTTTCCACTTTGACGGCAAAAAAGGCCATATACAGTAATGTGCCTCACGAATGGCGGCAAGAATTTAGCGCGGACGGGAATCGCTTTGGTTGATCCGAATCTTTGCCAGGACTGAGATAGACTTTAATATTTTCTTACTAAGATTTAGTACTAAGTTTAATACTAGGTTACTAAGATTTAGTAGTTATAAGTCTTAGTAGTCCTTTGAAAATATGACCCAGAGAATATATGGGAAAACACCTGTCGAGATTAGCTGAGAACTCCTCGTTCCCGAAGCAGCTTGGCAAAGACGACAGATGAGGCTTCAAAACGGGAATGCTTGGCAAGGCGGAAAAGGAGCTTATGGGATCTTCGTAATCAGGCGCTGCTGGGTGCCCGGGGAAAATTTGTGGTATCTCTCAGATGATGAGAATTAACGATGCGTCAGACTCTCAGGAAATCAGGAGTGCCTCTCCCGTCCTCGGCATCCTGGAATAATCCGTACATGGTCGCTGGGAACATCCGCCTCTCCTCTCGAGCGGTTTCCCACATCCTGTGCTGGGTCTCTGACAGGCGCATCTCGTCCGTCGAGGAAGAGATGCGCCTGTCAGAGGCCGTGAGCAATGAGGATCAGCGAGTCAACGGGAATCATTCCCTCGAAGCTGGAATCCCAAGAGACGAAACGAATCGAGTCCTTGGGCTCCTTGAAGGCCTCTGGTGGATTTTTGGAAGGCTTCTAGTGGAAGAAAGGGGGCGAGGCTGAGTGTGCCTTCAACAAATTGGAATAGAACACTTGCAAAACTGAGGATTTCGTCTTCTCGGAAAATTTAAATTCAGCAACGGCTATCTGCGAGCGCCCATAAAAAAAAAGTATGAAGCCCTGAATATACGATGATCATAAACGTGTTCTAATCGGCGATCATTAAATATTCAGAGACCGAGGTGCCAATAATCTCCCAACCTGCTCCATCTCCCCGACCATGTAGGAGGTATTGGACAGGATTTCACAAAATATCCACGAATCAGCCTTTGGGTGACACGGTCTGAGTGCATTCAGAGTCATTCCAGTCCAAGAAGTTCTGAATTTCCTGTCCAGACTCGAGAGAAAGGACGACGTTATCGCAAAGCATTTCTTCATCTTGATGCCATTAACTTTGACCCCCTCAAGGACCAGAGCGTGCCAGAAAATCCTGTTCATTTTCATGTATATTTTAGTAATAAAAAATAAACACCAGAAGACAGAATGCTTCCACGGTGGAGATTTTCCCGTTTTTTTTCTTAGAATATGGGTTAATTTTGAGATTATATACAATTTATTTACACGAGAGACATGATAGGTGGACACAACATATACACAACAAAACACAGAATGAAGGCCAACGAGCAGACAATAAATATTTCTTCCACGAGATAAGATAGCATGTGTTACGAAAAAGGAAAATCGTTACAAGTCCTGACAATTAAGACGTTAAACATTGTTACCTGTCCATACACATAATAAATGGGAATGCTCTTGGAAAGCACCATAGAAAGGTCCATTTACTCGTTCATTGATCGATCCCTATGGCCTCGGAATTCGGAGAGGGAGATAAGCTCCGGCCTCTGGGAGAGAGTCCTGCCCTGTGGCCAGAAGAAGCGTTTCACCTCCGCCAAGAACTGCGGGTTCCGGATCCCATAGATGTAAGGGTTGATGCAGGCTGATGCCTTGCAGGCGAGTGCGGGAATCATCGACATCCCTGGAGTGAGGTACTGCGACCGCACGGCTCCTATTAAGACCGTGGTGGCGTAGGGCGTCCAGCTCAGCATCCAGATCACCACCACCATCAACACCGAGCGATTCATCCTTCTCTGTATCTGGAAAACCAGCCAGGAATATGACGTCGTCATCTCCTCTGCCGATGACATCAAGTTCCTTACCTTTCGCTTTTCCAAGAACACGGATACGACAAGGGATCCACCGTCCTGTCTAGTTAACAGTAAGAAGGCTTCATCGCTCTTTCTAGTGATTCGGATGATCCCGACGTAGCAGAACATGATGATGCAAAGCGGAATCAACCAGCCGATAGATCCGCACAAGATGATAAATGCCCGCTTTTTCCAGTCCGAACTCAGATAGTCGATAGTACAGGAAGTCAAATAACCCTGGCGAAAGAGAGAAGTGAGAAGGAATGATAATCCGCATTAATACATTGATAATATTGCAGCCCTCTATATTGGAAAGTTGTGGGTGTTCTTTTTCATATCGTCGGGAATTCATGATGCAAATTAGGGTAAAAGTATTTGCTAGGCGTTATGGAGAAAGGGGAATTCCATCATGGAGCAGACGTAGCATGGACGTAGCAGAACATGATGATGCAAAGCGGAATGAACAAGCCGATAGATCCGCACAAGATGATAAATGCCCGCTTTTTCCAGTCCGAACTAAGTCGATAGCAAGGGATTTCGCTTTTCGAATCGTCTTTGAATCGGCACTTATCGGCGCGGTAAAATCTGGCACGGACAATACATTTATGAACAAACCAGCAATCTAACCAATCTGAAACCATCAATAAATTTTCATGTCCAGACGAATAATTGTTGCGCCGGTGTAGAACAAGGATCACGTTTCCCAGTTTGACGCCTTCATCACGCTCATTGGAGAAAATTACTTTGGATACTCGGCATCAGAATGTTCGTGACCTTCAATCGGCATTGGCTCGCCTTTGATTCGATCGTACCAAGATGAAATCAGTCGACCGATCGTGATGTGTCTGATACGATGCCCAATCTTCTTTCTTCTGTCGCTATTCGCAAGAGGTCTCAATTTACGTACATGGGAAAGGATGCACATGCCATGCTTTCGATGAAATGCGCTGTAATGCTCTCACCGAGGGAGCCGAGCGTGGGTCCCTGCTGGAAGCTCTGGATGATGAAAACGGGCGTCTTCAGCATCATGAGGAAGTCGGCCGTGACCAAGCTTCCCACAAAGCAGTTCGAACACGATTGCAAAGACGGCCATCTGCGACAATACAGAGGAAATTAATGCAAATATTTTAAATTTTAAATCAATGTAAAGTCTATGCGGAAGATAGTATTTAGAGGGTATGGCTAGAAAATGGCAACTTTCTAAATGCATATCTCTGCTCTCAATGAAGTCAATTTTCACGAACATGGTCAGATGAGTCTGTGCTGCAGCTTTTCCAGCCATTCAACCCACAACGTGACAATATCTGGAGCAAAAACTGTGCCTTTTCCCTTCCCGTCATCTCAGTGAAGTACCCAATGATCATGGGGTGGGGAATGTTCTCTCATCAGGCTGAGAGCTCCATGTGATCCCACAAAAATATTTCATGAACACAATGCGGAGTATATCCCAAAGTCCTGCCTTGATGCATTTAGGAGGATGACCAAAGGAGGATCAATTCTGGAGCAGTACTTGGTTGAAAAAAAAAGGTCAGAGGCCATCTTCACCTTTCCACACCTCCAAAGTCACCACTGCCAGGTACCAGAAGAACCTGGTAACAATCTGGGGGAAGGGTCAGTGACCAGGCAACAACCCTGACCTAAATCCCATTGAAAATATATGATTCTCAGGGAGGAGGTCAAGAAGATGAAACATGCCACAAGCAGGAAGCAGCTCATCCAGAAACTCAAAAATGCACGGGCAGACTTGAATCTTTGAATGCAGACTTGGCTGTTCAATGACAAAGCATGCACACCCTTAAGGGTGCGGGATCTCACCTTTATTATTTGCTGTGCAGTGGCGGACATAAACAGACGGTACTAAATATGTTCTCCATCGTTTTTAGGGGGCGCCCTGAGAAGTATTAAATGGCTTCCAAATAGGCCTATTTGAATTAGTATTCAATTTCATGTTACTTCTCATTTTTTAGACAACAATAGGCACCAGCACCGACCGATGGTTATGAGATGAAAATCGGCCATTAGCCCACCGGCCAATGGCACCCATCGGTACAGACTTAGTCAGAAGTTTTGCCACGAAAACCCAGTTTCCCACTTGCTGCTATTTGATGAAGATATATGAAAAACATCTACCTGCTTTAACCCAATACCCCACTAAATTGAGGACGGTTTTGAGAGTGCATTGACGTATGTGACATAGGAGATTCCATTCAATATCAAATGTGACAGGACATGCGACAGGACAGGCAAGACATGCGCTCGTCGAGCTCATAAAGTGTGGGGGAAGAGGATATAAGAAGCTACCTGGAGCAATGACAGGGAGATAATAGCAAGGTGAGAGATGATGGAGAGTTCACCCAGTCCCACATACATCGGCGACAACGCTCCGGAGGAGTTCCTGCCTTACATCTCCGAGCATTGGCTCAAGTTTCTCGCTCCGAATCCCAGTATGAACTATGTCCTAGGAATCATCTACATTTTCTTCATGATATTTTCCCTCTTCGGCAATGGCTTCATCCTTTTCCTCATCATCAGGTCGGTTGTTTTCGATATCAAGTTCGAGTGGGATATTTATAAGTTCACTGCGGATTGTAATTTCAATTATTTTTCTCCCCCGTGATAATAACGTGCTTTCCTTCGTGGAATATTTCAGATAAACAGGGTAGAGCCGTCACTCATTTCCTAACAACTTTTCGCACTCTCGAAAATAACTTAAGCCAAGCTTAATGTCATGGACGACCATGTAGCTCAACCTTGTTCTGTATTACAGTTTGCAATTCTCAACTTCCTATGCTAAATGTATTACCATGAAATCAAACCGTAACTTTGCGTTCCATGAAAAATCTGGTGATTCTTGGATTATGACAAAATTGCGACAAAAATGTAATAAAACTTCGGGCTCATGCGTAGACATCCGGGCGATTGCCTAAAAAAACTGACTTTTTCAGAGAGTACGGCTCTCTGAGGCAATATAAGAGCACTACTAGAAGTTAAGTCTTTTTTTCCATCTATTTCTTGACTATGAGACTTTTCTTCAGTGGATTAAGAACCAAATCCACTAGCGAGTGCTCGTCTAACATGGGTGTCTGGTATTGGGTTTAGGATATTCTTCGCGATTCGCGTCGTCCAAGAAAATTCCTTCCAAGTAAATAATCAGAATGAAATCGTCTGATGCGACTATCTAGCGCCTTAACAATTACTACAGCAAATTAACCATTGCTCGGTCATGCCGTCGAATTCGTCAACCTATAGGAATAGACAGACTGGTTCTAACACTGTTCTCCCCCTAACCTACCAACAAATTCAAGCTGGCGTTCGCCGCAGTAAGTTTGTGCTGCGAGTTAAACGTCACGTTGAAAAAATACGCACTTTTTCATTTTTTCTATTCGGTTTCTTTCGTCATGACTGAGAGCGAAGGGCCAAATTTATCTCTAATTTAATGAACAGGAAGAAATCCCATGAGCAGAAAGACACATCGGCGCTGAGTGCCTTCTACCAAGCTTCAATTTCCTGGCGAGGTAAGAGAGGAACCAAGTGAGAGGAAAGTGGATGAACCTGGTTAAGCTAAATTCCATAAGCCATGTGGCAGTGTCTTGCATCTGAAGGTTGTGAACCTTTCAATTGTTCTTGGGGCTAGACAATCTAGAGATTGCGAATTCAAACATTAAGTTGGCCTTTGATTGCATAAGATTTCTCCTGATTAATGATAGATGAACCTGATTGATTCTTAGAAACAGAGATTATCGAGACAGAGTTTGCTCAACGTTAATACAGTTTTTCTTTTCTTGGTGTTTCACAACGAGTCAGGATAACTCAGGTTTCAGAAGCGACCAGAAACTTAGGATCTAGTTGCCATTTAACATCAATTTCCTATTTCTTTTGACTTCTTGCTCGTGGCCTTGTAGTCAATAGGTAAGGGATTTCAGAGGTATGTTGAGAACACATTCATACATTTACAATACAATGTTCGTGAAAATTGGCTTCATTGAGAGCAGAGATATGCATTCAGAAAGTTGCCATTTTCTAGCCATACCCTCTAAATACTATCTTCCATATAGACTTTACATTGATTTAAAATGTAAAATATTTGCATGAATTTCCTCTGTATTGTCGCAGATGTCCGTCTTTGCAATCGTGTTCGAACTGCTTGGTGGGAAGCCTGGCCACGGCCGACTTCCTCATGATGCTGAAGACGCCCGTCTTCATCATCCAGAGCTTCCAGCAGGGACCCACGCTCGGCTCCCTCGGTGAGAGCATTACAGCGCATTTCATCGAAAGCATGGCATGTGCCTCCTTTCCCATGTACGTAAAGTGAGACCTCTTGCGAATAGCGACAGAAAAAGATTGGGCATCGTATCAGACATATCACGATCAATAGACTGATTTCATCTTGGCACGATGGAATCACAGGCGAGCCAATGCCGATTGGAGGTCACGAACATTCTGATGCCGAGTATCCAAAGTAATTTTCTCTGATAAGCGTGATGAAGTATCGCGTCAAACTGGGAAACGAGATCCTTGTTCTACACCCGCGCGACAATTATTCGTCTGGCCTGAGCATTTATTGGTGGTTTCAGACTGGTTAGATTGCTGGTTTGTTCATAAATTTATTGTAGAGCCATGTCCGTGCCAGATTTTATCGGGCCGATAAGTGCCGATTCGAAGACGTTTCGAAAAGCGAACTCCCTTCCCCATCCTCCCCCAAAAATTAACCATTGGTTTTATTTGCTCAGACTTGACTCCTTCCAAGAGAAAATTCAAATTCTCCATGTCCTAGCAATAGACCATCCGCACTGCCAGATTTCATACTTAAATTTTCCCCTGTTGGTTTTCAGAGCACTATCGGATAGCTTTCTTCCGGCTTTCGCTTAGATGAAGCACAGAAAAGTTATTAATTACAAAAATTTCAATTTCAGTTGGAATAGCAATGCCAACGGATGCCTGATTGTGCATTAGTTAATGTGGTCGCAAAGCTTCTTGGTGCGGGAAAAGAGCAGACGATTCAAATTTTCTATTTTCCTGCAACGAAACGAATTTGGACAATTTTGTCGATCGCTCGCAGGATGTCAGCTGTACGGGGCAATAGGGTTTCTGTCCGGGTTCGCGGCGATCTGGTCCGTCATGGCGATCGCGATCGATCGATACCTCGTCTTCGCCAATCCCTTCGACATGGGGCGGCGACTTGACCGCAAAAGGGTCTGTCTCTCACGAAAATATGCACTCCCTCTGCTGAATGCAACTTACTGGAAAAAGTATTTTCTTTCCCTGCAGACCACGATACTAATCACGTGCATCTGGTCTTCGTCGGCGCTGTTCACAGTCGCTCCCTTCCTCGGCTTCAGCCGCTACGTCCCTGAGGTAATTGCACCTATAAATATTCTTTCAAAAACCTAAGAGCCTTTCTTTTCCCCTGAAGGAATATTTCCATTGGGTGGATGTCTCACTCCATGATGGAATTCCCCTTTCTCAATAACGCCTAGTAAATACTTTTACCTCAAGTTGCTTCATGAATTCAAGAAGACGAAGAATGATATGAAAAAGAACACCCACAACTTTCCAATATAGAGGACTGCAATATTATCCATGTATTAGTGTGGATTATCATTCCTTCTCACTTCTCTCTTTCGCAAGGGTTATCTGACTTCCTGTACTATCGACTATCTGAGTTCCGACTGGAAAAAGCGGGCATTTATCATCTTGTGCGGATCTATCGGCTGGTTGATTCCGCTTTGCATCATCATGTTCTGCTACGTCGGGATCATCCGAGTCACTAGAAAGAGCGATGAAGCCCTCTTACTGTTAACTAGACGGGACGGTGGATCCCTTGCCGTATCTGTGTTCTTGGAGAAGCGAAAGGTAAGGAACTTGATGTCATCGGCAGAGGAGATGACGATGTCATATTCCTGGCTGGTTTTCCAGATGCAGAGAAGGCTGAATCGCTCGGTGTTGATGGTGGTAGTGATCTGGATGCTGAGCTGGACGCCCTACGCCGCCGTGGTCTTAGTAGGATCCCTGTGGTCCCAGTACCTCACCCCAGGGATGTCGATGATTCCCGCCCTCGCCTGCAAGGCATCGGCCTGCATCAACCCTTACATCTATGGGATCCGGAACCCGCAGTTCTTGGCGGAGGTGAAACGCTTCTTCTCCTGGCCACGGGGCCGAACTCCATCCCAGAGGCGGGAGCTTATCTCCCTCTCCGAGTTCCGAGGACATAGGGATCGATCAATCAACGAGTAAATGAACCTTTCTATGGTGCTTTCCAAGAGCATTCCTATTTATTATGTGTATGGACAGGTAACAAAGTTTAGCGTGTTGACAGCAATGTTGCTGATGACGATTTTCCTTTTTCGTAACAAAAGCTCTCTTGTTATCTCGTGGAAGAAATATGTATTGTCTGCTCGTTGGCCTTCATTCTATGTTTTGTTGTGTCCACCCATCATGTCTCTGGTGTAAGTAAATTGTATATAATCTCAAAACTAGCCCATATTCTTAATTTAAAAATCTTGGATAATCGTTAGGCTTCACCATGGAAGCATTCTGTCTGTTGGGATTTATTTTTCTTTACAAAAATATAAACCAAAATGGACAGGACTTTCTGGCGCGCTCAGGTCCTTGAGGGGCTCAAAGTTAATGGCGTCCAGATGAAGCAATGCTTTGCGATAACGTCGTCCTTTTTCTCGAGTCTGGACAAGAACTTCAGAATTTTTTGGACTGTATAGACCCTGAATGCACTCAGACCGTGTCACCCAAAGGCTGATTCGTGGATCTCTTGTGAAATCCTGTCCAATACCTCCTACATGTCGGGGAGATGGAACATGTTGGGAGATTTAGGCACCTCGGGCTCTCATTATCCAATGATCGCCGATTCGAACACGTTTATGATAATCGTCTATTCAGGGCTTCATAGTTTTTTTTTTAAGGGCGCTCGCAGATAGTCGTTTCTGAATTTAAATTTTCTGAGAAGAGGAAATCCTCAGTTTCGGAAGTGTTCTAAGTATTCGAAAATGCAATTCAAATTTGTTGAAGGCCCACTCAGCCTCGCCACCTCGCCACCTTTCTTACACCAGAAGCCTTCCAAAAATACACCAGAGGCCTCCAAGGAGCCCAAGGACTCGATTCGCTTCGCCCCTACATCCTCTTGAGATTCCAACTTCGAGGGAATGATTCCCGTTGACTCGCTGATCTTCATTGCTCCCGGCCTCTGACAGGCGCATCTCGTCCTCGACGGACGAGATGCGCCTGTCAGAGACCCAGCACAGGATGCGGGAATCCTCTCGAGAGGGGAGCCGGATGTTCCTAGCGACCATGTAAGGATTATTCCAAGATGCCGAGGACGGGAGAGGCACTCCAGATTTCCTGAGAGTCTGAAGCATCGTTAATGCTCATCATCTGAGAAATGCCACAAATTTTCCCCCGGGTACCCAGCAGCGCCTGATTACGAAGATCCCATAAGCTCCTTTTCTGCCTTGCCAAGCATTCCCGTTTTTTTTTTAAAGCCTCTTCTGTCGTCTTTGCCAAGCTGCTTCGGGAACGAGGAGTTCTCAGCTAATCATTCTCGACAGGTGTTTTCCCATACATTCTCCGGGTCATATTTCCAAAGGGCTACTAAGACTTATAACTACTAAATCTTATATTGAAAATATTAAAGTCTATCTCGGTCCTGGCAACGATTCGGATCAACCAAAGCGATTCCCGTCCGCGCCAAATTCTCGCCGCAATTCGTGAGCCACATTACTGTATATGTTTTTTTTTTCCGTCAAAGTGGAAAGACGACCCAAGAGACAGGGTCTTACATTTTAATGGTGACGCTAATTGTAATGGTTTTCAGGTGACAGGTTTTAATGCTTCGGACGAATTCGGACTAATCCGAATTTTGTTCGTGTCCCGTTAGTTCCCCGCGCCTTTTGCCCTTCTAGACTTCTTGTTTCATTTTTTTCGCTTGGTAATAACTCTCAGTTGGCAAATAGAACGAAGATCTCCCAACCAAACACCTCTGTTCCTTTTTTTCTTCAAATCTCATTCGGCTTCTTCCTCAAAAATGAAGGTAGGAGGGACGAAAGGGAAAAATAATTAAATTACGAAAGGAGAGATAGATTTTTCTCCAAAACTTGACAGCTTGAAACCGTTCACTTTTTCAGTGAAGAAGGGTTTCTCAATTGGTTTATTACACTGATAGTCCTTGTTTTGCTTCCAACAGGTAAGGTGAATGCCACTTGCTGCTTTTGTTGTGAGAATGTCCTATATCCTATTCCTTAGCTTTAACTAATACGAGGAAAATAATAAAAATTAGGCAGGAATTCTGGGACACCCTGTACTTTCTCATTGCCATTCTGGGTTTTATGTCCCTTTCCCGGTTAAATAACCGATCTGGTCGAGATAGGCAAAAGTGGGAAGGATCTGGTGTGTTTATTTAAATTGGAAATTGGAATTGAAATTGGTCTTTAGATATCAGTCTGCCTTTCATATGCCTTCTTAAAATGCTTCCTGCGAAATTCGTCCTCGTCCTGCAACCCAAAAAAATTATTCCACTTCGGTAATAATGGGATTTCTCGCTGATGAAAGCCGGAAATGGTTTGCAAAGTAACGTAATGGCAGAGATCGGGAAACCTCTGATGGTCCATAGAAATACACAACAGTTATCATATAATATTATTATCATATAAACATTAGTTAGTAGAGCTCCCAGTTCCTTGGAATCGATGAAAGGAGAGTCGCCTGTTCTCGTCGCATGTAACGCCAATAGATTTTATCATCTGAAACATCTCCAATCTCAGCTTTGAGTGCAAGGTGCGCCTCATGTGTTCATTGAAAGAGGTTCACTTTTGGATTATATCATCTCTTTTGCATATTTCACCCACTTCTAATGCCGTTGCTCATACATAGTGTGTTTTTTATTTAAAAAATCTGTATTTTGTAATGTTATATAATGGAACCTTGCGTTATACCGGTGTTTTATTCATACCGCAGTATTCGGTTCTCGCGATAACCGTACCAACTCCTACGTTTTTCGGCATTATCGCCACGGTATGGAAACCGTAGGACGGCGCCACGGCGCCACACCAAGAGCCATTTCGTAAAATAAAATACTGTAAACTGTATTCCCACGGTGAAGACAAACCCCCCGGGGGAGAAAAAATGAAAGTCAACGGAGTGTAATTAATCCGAACTCAAAATCCGTCATTTGTGGGTGAGCCTGAGCACCCAATACCAATATTAAAGGTGCAGCCATGCTGAGATTAATTATTCTCCACGATGTTTCTTTTTTTTTCCCGAGATCCACAACTTGAGTCCTCTCGGCAACTTTAATTGCGATATCATTCCTGAGCACGCCAACCGAATCCATCCATTTGGGTTGAAACGAAGAAATCCGCTTCTTTTCAATCGAACGGCACTATACGAATGCGCCTCTTGCTCCACGCAATCAAAACAGAAAGACTCGCTCTCTTCGTATTTTTCTTTCTGGCAGTTCGTAACTGAAGCAATTCCCCCGCCCCGCCCCGCCCCCCTCCCCCCAACTCCCCCCCCCTCCCCCGGTATCGAATCAAACGNGCGTTTCACCTCCGCCAAGAACTGCGGGTTCCGGATCCCATAGATGTAAGGGTTGATGCAGGCCGATGCCTTGCAGGCGAGGGCGGGAATCATCGACATCCCTGGGGTGAGGTACTGGGACCACAGGGATCCTACTAAGACCACGGCGGCGTAGGGCGTCCAGCTCAGCATCCAGATCACTACCACCATCAACACCGAGCGATTCAGCCTTCTCTGCATCTGGAAAACCAGCCAGGAATATGACATCGTCATCTCCTCTGCCGATGACATCAAGTTCCTTACCTTTCGCTTCTCCAAGAACACAGATACGGCAAGGGATCCACCGTCCCGTCTAGTTAACAGTAAGAGGGCTTCATCGCTCTTTCTAGTGACTCGGATGATCCCGACGTAGCAGAACATGATGATGCAAAGCGGAATCAACCAGCCGATAGATCCGCACAAGATGATAAATGCCCGCTTTTTCCAGTCGGAACTCAGATAGTCGATAGTACAGGAAGTCAGATAACCCTTGCGAAAGAGAGAAGTGAGAAGGAATGATAATCCACACTAATACATGGATAATATTGCAGTCCTCTATATTGGAAAGTTGTGGGTGTTCTTTTTCATATCATTCTTCGTCTTCTTGAATTCATGAAGCAACTTGAGGTAAAAGTATTTACTAGGCGTTATTGAGAAAGGGGAATTCCATCATGGAGTGAGACATCCACCCAATGGAAATATTCCTTCAGGGGAAAAGAAAGGCTCTTAGGTTTTTGAAAGAATATTTATAGGTGCAATTACCTCAGGGACGTAGCGGCTGAAGCCGAGGAAGGGAGCGACTGTGAACAGCGCCGACGAAGACCAGATGCACGTGATTAGTATCGTGGTCTGCAGGGAAAGAAAATACTTTTTCCAGTAAGTTGCATTCAGCAGAGGGAGTGCATATTTTCGTGAGAGACAGACCCTTTTGCGGTCAAGTCGCCGCCCCATGTCGAAGGGATTGGCGAAGACGAGGTATCGATCGATCGCGATCGCCATGACGGACCAGATCGCCGCGAACCCGGACAGAAACCCTATTGCCCCGTACAGCTGACATCCTGCGAGCGATCGACAAAATTGTCCAAATTCGTTTCGTTGCAGGAAAATAGAAAATTTGAATCGTCTGCTCTTTTCCCGCACCAAGAAGCTTTGCGACCACATTAACTAATGCACAATCAGGCATCCGTTGGCATTGCTATTCCAACTGAAATTGAAATTTTTGTAATTAATAACTTTTCTGTGCTTCATCTAAGCGAAAGCCGGAAGAAAGCTATCCGATAGTGCTCTGAAAACCAACAGGGGAAAATTTAAGTATGAAATCTGGCAGTGCGGATGGTCTATTGCTAGGACATGGAGAATTTGAATTTTCTCTTGGAAGGAGTCAAGTCTGAGCAAATAAAACCAATGGTTAATTTTTGGGGGAGGATGGGGAAGGGAGTTCGCTTTTCGAAACGTCTTCGAATCGGCACTTATCGGCCCGATAAAATCTGGCACGGACATGGCTCTACAATAAATTTATGAACAAACCAGCAATCTAACCAGTCTGAAACCACCAATAAATGCTCAGGCCAGACGAATAATTGTCGCGCGGGTGTAGAACAAGGATCTCGTTTCCCAGTTTGACGCGATACTTCATCACGCTTATCAGAGAAAATTACTTTGGATACTCG